GGTTGAAAAAAAGAATGATAAGAAATGGGGTCAAAATAAAAAGTTTTAAATTTATAGAATTGTATTATAGCCCTTGGTGATCGACCAGGTGCTAAGGAACCGTTGGTGAAAGTATATTGAAAGTTGATGTATTTTTGCGATAGGATTTAAGATTTATGTAGCGAAATGAAATAAAATTGAATGCTCGTATACCACTTGTGAAATTTAACCTTCCTTTCAGTGTCTTCTTATCATGTGTGTACTGAAGTTGCCCAACCTTTCTGTTGAATACTTAAGTTGGGTCTTAATCTTGGCCCATGTGATAGTAGTTCCAAATTCTCCTGGACAGTGGGTGATCCAGTAGGCAGAGGTTCTGTGTATCCAAGCTGCTTCTGCAAAACAATCACAAAGATGGAAGGTGAAATTTGCTGCAGGTTCTTCTTCCACATGAAGAGCTTAATTAATCTTGGGGATGGATGGGTTTTCACAAATAAGTTTGTGAATGGGTGGAAGAAGTTCCCACATACCTCACTGCCAAGTATGTGCCATCTTGAGGGAGAAGCCACCATTGTTCCATTGCCACCTTCCATCTAAGTGGGCAGTAGCATTATATATCCAGGCCTAGTTGGTGTGTTCTATCTGCTGATTCTTTTCCAGCAAGATGAGTCACAGAGCTCTGCATGAAGGGAGTTTCCACCAAAGCTTGAGAGAACATGCTCTGCCTGGGTATCCTCAATGCTTCTAACACCTAATCCCCCTCTCTTCAACTGGTTTGCGAATTTCCATCCCTTATTCCTCCATTCCTTTGTCTGATTTTGAGCCAAATGAGTACGCGAATAATCTGACATTTTTCGATGCGTTAACGGGATTCAAACGTATGTATTACGAGAGAAGACAAAATGAGATCAAGGCTAAATATAATTTACTAAAGCTTTTTTATTAATGTAATTTTTTTTATTTAATGTTCTTTTTATTGAATGTGAATTTATTATTTAATAAATTATTGTCATTTAAAATTAATTAATTAATTAATCCAATTTATTAATTTAATTTTACAAAATGTGTATTAAAAAATTAAAAAAAGTTTGAAGACCCAGATTGATGCATCGAGACTTCAAACCAATTTCCAGTGAAACAATGAGGTAAGTTAAAGGGGAGTCAAAGTTGATGTGTCAGAGAGAAAAGGTTTGAAGCCTGAGGCTTCATGACCATTTCCAATGCTCTAAGGGAATAGCAGAGAGGAAATAATTAATGAGAAACAGCCGGCTCATAGGGTTAAGGACTATTAAACCAAATGTAAATATAGTTGTCAAAGTGCTCAACTAGAACATCACAATGTTTTCTCTAAAGGAAGGTGACCATGTTTGATCCCAAGAATGGCTTCCACCCTTTAGGTTTGTGGATGTGTAGACAGAGAAGGTTTTTAAAGCCCCGGTTTGAAGCTTGGGGCTTCATGACCATTTCCAGTGCT